GTGAGTTGTTTGGGGAAAAAGCTGAGTCAGCTGCTGATACACTTTTAACAGGAAAGTTAAGCTGCTCAATTATTAATATGAAAGTGATAGTATGTATTTCTAAGTTGATGATGATGATGTTTTGATTTTTTTAAGCATACTCCAACAAAAGCTAGAGGAAATGCTGCTGGCAGTCTTTTGTTTGTTTGGTTGGTTGGGGTTTTTTTGGTTTTTTTTTTGTTTGTGCCAGTGCTTTCTAGCATTTGGCTTAAGGAAATGTAAAGAATTTTCTCAATTTATATTTAAAGTATTTTTTTCCCCCTAGAGTAAGTACAAGGGATCTGGTAAGAATGGTAGGGTAGCTGCTTAAATTCAGATGTAGCTTATATAGGCGCATGTTAACGTTTCTGAGAAACAATAATCATTGGCCGTAATAAGTCTGGCAGAATACAAAGATTTGTATTAATTTTTGAATGTGACATCACACACAGATTTCAGAGTTTAATCAGGGGTTTTTGTATGAAATGTAGTAGATAGCTGTAATTTTGAAGGAGGCTTGATTGTATGGTTCACAGAACACTGAATGTCAGGGGGATACTTGATTTAACAAAACTTACAATAAAAATGCATGCCTAATTCTGTTTTAGTAATTGAAATAACTGGTTATATTAGAACTATATTAGTACTAGAAAAATTGTACTGTTACATTGCTGTTTCTATTTTTTGTAAACATATTCCTGTATTTGTAAGTAAGAAATATAGTCCAAGTATTGTGTACGTGCCTCCAGCACGGCATGTTAGCTGTGCTGAAGTCATACTTCTTACATAGTGTCTTATTCCATGTTTAGAGTTTTACAGTGCATGAGTCATCATGGTTTCAGTAGCCTTTAAGCACTAAATTTCTGAAGATTTTATGACCTTCTGTGTATGTTGTTTTGGTTTTGTGTATGCTGGTTCAGTTCAAGTCAAAAACCACATATGGCACTGTGCTGGATTTCGTAATCACTTACTTTCAGAGCATTCAGGACAGATTCTGTAGGCTTAGTAGGAATCCATGTATTTGTGGCAAGTTATTGAACTGTGTTCTTGCAGAGTACTGGTACAAATGTGCCGTAAAAGATGACTGTTACTGCTAATTTTCAGTCTGTTCAGTTTAGTGTTTTTTTGTTGTGTCCAACGAATTGTTACATCTGAAAATTAAACCTAAAAGTAAAAGTCAGTGAATACAAACCAGCTTGTTCTGCAAGTGCAGTCTTGTGTATTTAACTGGCATTTATGGATCTGATTTAACAGACAATCTAAGCAATAAGACAGAATACATCAGTAGGTGTGGGTTTTGACTGGTTTAGAGGAAACTCTAAAAGGAAACGAGTATTACAAGAAACTGCTTACTCGCTTAATAGCTTTACAAATTTAGGTTTTTATAGAGATATTTTTCCAATATATGGTTCAGTGGTAGATTGGGAACACAAGGTTAAGTACAAGTGGTATTGCCATTGACCTGTGCGTTTATGTATGTATTTGGCAGTCAGTCTCTGGTGCTTGTTTATCAAGGTGGTGTTGTTTTTTTGTTGTTGGTTTTTTGTGTTTGTTTGGATTTTTTTTTTTTTTCTTTTTGGGTTTTTTTTTGCGTTAGGTAATTGCAGTGAAAAACATGTTCAGCCTTAGGCTTAAATCAGGTTTGATGCTGAAGCTCTTGAAAAAGATGGCAGCTGTCATGGGTAATGGTTGTGAACTAGAAATAACTTCTGTTTGGTTTTCTTTAAAGATGTTTGGCAGATACAGTTGTCATCTACTAATAGTATTTTCTTTATTCTGATGTTTATATGTTGTCATCATTTATAGAGAAAGTCAGCCCTATCAGCTTGAAAAACTTTCTGGACATCATGTACCTAAACATGGTGGACTAAAGCATTTGAGTGATAAACCAGTCTTGAGAGATGATAGAGGTGGTTCCATTCAGTTGCTCATTACTCACTGCTAAGCTGGAAACACGAGAAAAGAGAACAACACTTCTTTTCTGTTTCTACTCTCTGAATATAAAGCAAAAGTCTGATTTACCAGTTGTAAAACACTGGAGGAACTGCAAAGTATAGAGTTACGGAAAAAATTACTAACTGGAGGCCCTTATTTCATATTTTTATGATGATTTTCATATTTTGATAATATTTTTGAATTTGGTGCAGTTTTTTATCGTAACATGATAATTTATACACAGTCACATAAAGCATTGTAGATGGCTTTAGTAAATTGAGTCAATTCAGATGAAAATGTTTTACTTGTGAGCTAGTATAAATATCCTGACATAAGCAAATGTGACTCAAATCTGAAAATAAGGACACTGCGTTGAGCTGTAAACATAGAAAGGAATTAGATGTGTTAGTAATGAAGTGGGAGTATGTGATACTATTTTTTGGCCATAGGGAAGTTTCTTCGTTGGTGGAAGAATAGGAAATTACTTGTAACTTCATAGTGACATTAATGTGACAAGCGTTGAATTCTGCATATAATTTGGGTACCTCTTTTTCAAAGAACTATTTTTGAGCAAGGTACCTAAGAACCCTGACTTCTTTAATTTCATAGAAGGAAGACTGGAGTATGTGTTACAAGTTGCCAGTATTTCCTTCTTATATTCTTACACCAGAGGGCTTCAATGTTGAAGCCAGACTAACTAAAAAGGGAAATAAATTACATGCTTTTAATTGGTAGTAAGTATTGCAATATCCTGTCAATAAAAAGGTGAATTCTTCATTTCCTTTTTTTTTTTTTTATTTAACGCATTTTTCTTAAAGACTTGTATAAAAGAGCTTACATTTGTATATCTGTTGTGGGTAAAAAATACCTCAGATACGGATAGAGGACCTGGTGTGAGGTGATACTTTACATGTTACTTTCTGACTTTTCTTCTGGTCTTCTAGGGACAGGAAGAAATAGTGCAAAAAACAGAATGATATTAGGTTATTGTTTTTAAGTAAAAGCAGGAAGACTATTTTGATTAAAAAACAACATCACAAATTTCTAGTACTTTGAACTCTTAATATGAAATTTTTTTATAAACATGGGGAACTTTAGACGTAGTACTCTGTAGCTGCCTTGTGGAAGCTGGTAACAACAGTCTTCTGGCTTCTGTATTTTTGAAGTACGTTTAGTGGTTTAAAATGTAATAAAGAGGCACAGAGCAGATGCAGTTACAATAGAGGAGACTGATGTCTCTTGAGAATGTTTTGTAGTTCATGTCTTTAAACGTTCAAATACAGGATCAGAGATTCTCAGAGTATGTCTCAGGCCATTACACTTCCTTACAAATTTGCAGTGCTTTTATTTCTCTTTACTTAGGTGGTTTGTGGTGGGTTTTATTTGTTTGGGGTGAAGTTTTTTTTTTAGTTTTTTCACTGAAGTTTCCGTACATCTGTTGGATGATTTACTTTGGTGGTGCAGATACATCTGTATTTCCATGTGTAATTCCATCATGCCAGAAAGTGAAGGCAGAAAACTTGAATTCTAGAGTTGTGATATCCCCTTATGTGTACAAATATCTTTTCTGATCCATTAACATTATGGATAGATAATTATATTATAATTAGGGGTGGTATTTTTAAAATTAAGAGCACTATCTTGTACCATGTTCTGATGTGCAATGTGGTCTGTGCTCTTTTGGTAGTAGTAATAGGCTCTACTCTAGTGCAGTCTTTCTGAAATGGGTATGATTATGCATATTAGGTATATTAGTACAGTATAGATATGGGTATGATTATATATATTGTAAAAATCAATGGAAGCTCTACTCTGCAGATAATTGAACAGTTAAGCTGGATTTTTAGGAGTTAGGTTTTCATTCTTCTAGGAAAAGAGATTAGTGAAAATGCTCTCAAAAACACTACATTAATTTATTTTTAGTTCTTTTGGGTGTTTTTTTTTTTGTGTGTGTGGTTTTTTTTTTTTTTTTTTTTTTTACCCAGAGCCATTGTAGACACAATTATAAAATCTGTGCCATGGGTGTAAGTAGTACTGTAGTAAGGTGTGAAAAACCTGAGACTTGATGTACTTCAAAAACCACCCAGAGTCAGGGATGGTTTCATTTTTAAACTTACATCTGATCTACAGAGAAGGAAAGTGAAATCCAGTGTTTCATTAGGGGGTATTCTCAAAATGAATTTTGTAGTTCTGTGTGGTACAGTATTGTAACAATGAACACCATTAAAAAAAGCTCACATTAAAGGAAAAATGCACTTCAGAGTATTGAATATTTAGAGTTAATGAGACACAGACGATGCATACTGAAGAGCAAAAAAAAAACCCCAAAACCTGAAGTAACTAGCTTTAAGTGAAGAAAATTTATTCTGCTGAATGAGGAAGAGGTCCTGTGCATATGAGGAAGTACAAGATCAATAGAGGCAATGAAATCAACTTATTTTGAATTACATAATCACACAATCCAGATGTACAAAAACACGAAAGTGAAATTGGATCATAAGGCTATGAATATTGATACTTTCACACTTCAGGATTGCCTAGCTTCTTAAGGTAGGTATTTATCTAAAACTATGAAGTCCAGACTTAATGCCTCCTTAAACTTGAGAATTCAATAATCTTTTTTTGATTTTTAAATTAGTTCTATAGATGTGGTGGTTTTATTCCTGAATATACATTTGTTGTAGCCTTAATTCAAAAACTTTAAATGCCTACTTTTTTAGGAAGGAGCTTATAGAAGCCTCTCTTCATACCTTTTTAAAATCCTGTTTCAATTTACAGTTACAAAACCTAACCACTTCTGATTTTTATTTTTTAAGTCTTTCACAAACCAAACATGTAATACGCATAAAATATTTAATGAAGCTGGTACTACTTTTATTACTCGTATTTTGTCTTTTACCTGTAGTTTTTATGAGGTTTTATTGTTGCTTTTGTGTGAAAAATGTATGTTTAACTTCAGATCAGCTTGAAATCTGGTATGAATTTTATTGGTATGTTCATTGATCTTATCTGACCCCTTATAATTACTTTGTATCTTCATTTTACAGATGGAATACCTCAGGTTTACTATTTTGGCCCATGTGGCAAATATAATGCTATGGTGCTAGAACTACTTGGACCTAGTCTGGAAGATTTATTTGACTTGTGTGGTAGGACATTTTCTCTTAAAACCGTTCTTATGATAGCCGTACAGTTGGTAAGTAGAATAGATCTTAATTTGAGTATTTGTTAGAATAACTGTCAGTCTTCAATGGATTAAATGCTTATTTCATTTAAGAGAGTTGAACTGTACATGTTTATAATTGGTGTTAGTGGCTTCTAAAGAGCCTGTGATACAGTTATAGTAGGAAGACTGTCTTATGTCACTTTCAGTTACTTTGTTCTAATTTTTCAAGAACCATTTCATGAATGTAGTTTCATTGTGTCTTCTGAGTTCTCATGATCACAACCTGAAATAATGAATTTTAGCTTAACATACTCAATTAGGAAAAAAAAAATCCCAAATCTTCCTAAAATAAAAATAATTTTAATTCACAGAAGCAGTTGGATGATGGGACTCCTAAATAGCATAAATATTTTTCCTAGTCATTAGCAGAAAGAAACCAAGCAAACAAAAAAACAAATCCCCAAACCCGTCCAGAAATACTTAAATAGCATAGACTTATTCAACTAAGAATTTTTATTTTTTTTTCTTTTTCTAAGGTTTTCTGGTTTGATTTCCATCTGAGGATAGCTGGAAGTGGAAAGAAAGAAAAAAAGAAATAAGGCTTGCATTGTTTGCTTTGATACAATGTGCTTTAAATAAGTTCTTATGAAAAATTAATGATACTGAACCTCCACTTCCCTAAATAGGTAGTAATATTTTTATCCATGCAGGGTAGGGCAAACGAGTGTAATGGTGTAAAAGGCCTGCAACTGTAGACCTATAGACACATTCATCTTATTTACAGCCTTAATGGTGAAGTTAATTTTTTAAAATGCTCCGATTATCAGAGATAATCTTTATTCAATACTTGCTGTTCCTTCCTGAATATATAAATTTTGATAGAAAGCGATCCAGCTAGAATTGAGGTTATATGCATAGTGGTGAGCTTTCAGTGCTTCTCTTGTTTATACCTTTAATATGTAATAGGTCCAAATGGAACTTTGCTGCTCACTAATTTATGGCATAGTTTTTGGTTTTAGTTTTAATGTGCACAAAATATGCTTGGTGCCAGCAGTTCTAAAAGAAGATAACTTCTGTATATACTCATTTATGTGTAATGTATAGTGTGAAAGTTTCCAGTATGCCATGTGCTGTATCATCTCAAAGGATGTGCACAATTTTCATTGACTTTAACTGGGAGATACCTTGGTTTTCAGGTGATGTGAAGGTTATTTCCTCTAAATGTAAGGTCTGTGTAAGTTATTTAGCTTCTACCACAACTTAATGTGGCAGACAGAAGCTTAAACTAAACTATTGTTTCTTTCTTTTTTTAAAGATTTCTCGTATGGAATATGTCCATTCAAAGAACTTGATATACAGAGATGTAAAACCTGAGAACTTTTTAATAGGACGACCTGGAAACAAAATGCAGCAAATCATTCATATTATAGATTTTGGGTTGGCAAAGGAGTATATAGATCCAGAAACAAAGAAGCATATACCATATCGAGAACACAAGAGCCTTACAGGAACAGCTAGATACATGAGTATAAATACACATTTAGGAAAAGGTATGTGTGCTTATTAAGTGCAGAAAGAATTCAACAGCTGTCATTTGTCAGAAATCATCTTGTTTTCAAGTTGTAATTTTTCTCAGTCTGTAGTCATAGTAACTGCAAGTTTTGTATAGTGTGCAAAATTACAGTTTGTCCTTGCAGAAATACCATTTATGGGAATACAGTGTTCTGAGTCTGTAATCATCATGGTCATGTCTCAGCAAACAATAGCTATTTTTGTCAGATATCCATGAAAGAAAGATGACGTGTATCTTTCTGTATCATAACATCTTCACATTAGAAGCATACTGTGGCAGGTTGGGTGGGCAGCAGGTGGATATGCTTATTAAAGATACCAAAGTGAAAAGATTGCAAGAACATAGGTTTTCAGTTCTACCTTGCCTGTTTTTTGATCCCTTTGAAATGCACCGTGTAGTGGAATGAAAGTAGTTTATATTTTATGCTGATTTCTTGGTTTTCTTAGTGATTTTTAATGTTTATACTGTTAAAGAGGCTTTGTCAGAGTAGTTAAAAGTTATGCTAGTCTTGTAAATATGATGCACTAAAGAAATGACAGGATATATAGAGAGAAGTAAGTTATTATTGAATAATAATGTGTGAGCACTCAAAGTAGTCTTCGTTTAGCTTTGTTTATACCAGTTATATATACGTTTTCTAGTGGTAACAGGTTTGACACCTTTGAATTTGTGTAAATAAATTGCTTAGCATTGCATGGTAATCACTAATGAGGTTGCTCTGAAAGGTACTTTGTATTAATATGGCAATGAGAAACCATTCACATTTTCGAGATAGTAATAAGGTGCTTTATCAGTCAAGTCAGATTGTGGCAGTTTGTGGTTAGCAGCTGTAGCTGATGAATTGGTGTTAACATTCTGTAAAGAAACATAGAATCGTTTAGGTTGGAAGATACTTAACTGCTAACTGCCCACCTGTTACCTTAGCACTGCCAAGTCTACCGTTAAACCATGTCCTTCAGTGCCACATCTACTCATTTTTCAAATATCTCCAGGGATGGTGAGTCCACTGCTTCCCTGGGCAGCCTGTTCCAATGCTTGACAACCCCTTCTGTGAAGAACTTTTTTGTAATATCCAATCTAAACCTCCAGTGGCCCAACTTGAGGCCATTTTGTCTTGTCCTATCACTTGTTACTTAAGGGAGAGACCAACACCCACCTCACTCCATCTCCTTTTAGGTAGCTTTAGAGAGCAGTAAGGTCTCCCCTGAGTCATCTTTTTGCCAGAGTAAACAATCCTTTTTTCCTTTTTTCAGTTTTTTAGAGTTACTTCTTTGGAAAGTATAGAACTAATTAAAGTAACAAGTATTTGAGAGAGCTTCTGCTAAGCATATGAAGCATGGGTGTATATTTTTTTACTTACACATAAGGAATACTAAAATTTCAACAATATTTTTTTTCAAAGAAATGCATTCAATATGTAAAGTTTAAGCAGGTCTTGTGAAAAGCAACTGAGAGCTTCCTGGAAAGCAGCTTGCTTTGCTAAGCTTAGTTAAGCGGATTTGTATGCTATGGAGCAGCTGAGAAACAATTACCCAGTTTGCTCTGCTGCTGCAGTTTCAGGATGTAAGGGGGAGGCCAAACTCAGTATCAGACCATCTGATACTCATTTTCCACATTCAGTGACCAGTAGCCTCCAAAAGTTGATTGTGTTAGATATTGGCTACTTCAGAGCTGACAGCTATCTTTGGTTTCAGCAGTATACCCACAAGAAAGACTCAGGGTGTTGGTTGATGAGAAACTCAACAGGAGCTGGCTTCAGCGTGCACTCGCAGCCCAGAAACCAACTGTGTGCTGGGCTGCATCAAAAGGGGTGTGACCAGGAGGTCAAGGGAAGTGATTCTGCCCCTCTACTCCACTCTCGTGAGATCCTGCATTCAGCTTTGTGGCGACCAACAGAAGAGGAATGTGGACCTGTTAGAGGGAGTCTGGAGTAGGGCCATGAAGATGACCAGGGGGCTGGAGCACCTCTCCTGTGAAGACAGGCTGAGAGAGCTGGGCTTGTTCAGGCTGAAGAAGAGAAGGCTCTGGGGGTACCTTATTGTGGCCTTTCGGTAGCTAAAGGGTATCTGTATGAAAGCTGCAGAAGGACTTTTTAGAAGGGCATGAAGTGGTGGGACATGGGAAAATGGCTTTCAGATGGCTTTCTAGATTAGAACTTACAAGTTCTTTACTGTGAGGGTGGTGAGGCCCTGGCACAGGTTGCCTTGAGAAGCTGTGGCTGTCCCATCCCTGCAAATGTTCAAGGCCAGGTTGTATGGGGCTTTGAGAAATCCTGCCCATAGCAGGGGGTGGAACTAGATGATCTCTTAAGGTCCATTCTAACCCGAACCATTCTATGATTCTGTGAAGTGTGGAGAAATTTTGACCCTGAGAGAAATTACCTTGTAGAAGCAAGGACACCAGTCACATGCTAAGGGCTGCAGAGTATTTGTATTTCCTTCAAACAGCGATCTGAATAAAGCCACGTTATTTTTCACACAGACAACATGATTTCAGATACAGTTTCCCAGGTTGGCACAAAACCAGAAACCATTGATTAGAAGTCCATTTCTGGAACAAAAGATTATTGAATCTATTGTCTACACAAAGTTCAGTAACTCTGTATCATCCTCTATATACTTCTCAGAAAAGCGGACCTTGGCAATTTTGTGCAAGTTTTGATGGCATTTTCTACATCCTACTGAACAAATTAAAGAAATACTACTTTTTTCGAGGGGAGTCACAAACATACAGAAAAAAAAACCTCCACGAGGCTATGAAAGTTAAGAGGTCCCATTCAGAGTGTTCCGTGTTTGTTAGACCTCAGAGATCTTGACTATGAGTTATTTGTCACCCAATGCCTGCAGAATAATGAAGTCGAGAACCACTTATCTGAGTCTGAACTGAAGCAGAGTTACTACATGAGGTCATGCTCCTCTGCATGGTTTACCAACATCACTGTAAAGATTTCAAAAAGCACAGCACTGGTCCCACCAACTAACCTTGAGGAGCATCTCCACTTGAACAGTGAGCTGTTGACTGCAACTCCTTGAGTCCAGCCAATTCCTTACCTACCGAGTGGTCCATCCATCAAATCCATGCATCTTCAATATAGAGACAAGGATGTCATGTGGGACAGTGTCAAATGCTTTGCACAAGTACAGGTAGATGACGTCAGTCACTCTTCCCTTGTCCACCAACACTGTAGCTCCATCACAGAAGGCCACAGATTTGTCAGGCATGATTTGCCCTTAGTGAAGCCATACTGGCTGTCACCAGTCACACCCTTACTGTCCAAGTACCTTAGCATGGTTTCCAGGAGGGTCCACTCCATGGATGCATTTCATCAGTTCCCATGGACTTGTGTACATTCACTTTGCAAAGATAATCTCAAACCTGATCCTTTCTTACAGTGGGCCTAAGGTTGTCATTCTAGTCCCTGCATCTGCCTTCCAAGACTTGAGCAGCATAGCTAGAGTACTTGCCAGTGAAGACTGAGACAAAGAAGTCATTGAGAAGCTCAGCCTTCTCTAAATCCAGGGTAGCCAGTTCTCCCCTTAGCTTCCGGAGGGCCCACGTTATTCCTACTCTGTCTTTTGTTTGCAGCTTACCTATAGAAGCCCTTCCTGTTATCTTTGACGTTCCTTGCCAGACTCAGTTCTAACTGGGCCTTAGCTTTCTTGACCTGGTCGCTAGCTTCCCGAACAGTGTCCCTCTATTCTTCCCAGGCTGCCTGTCCTCGCTTCCACCTTTTATCGGCTTCTTTTTTCCCTCCAAGTTTCCTCACCAGTTCGTTATCTATTAATGGAAGCCTTCTGGCCTTCGTGCCCCATTTCCTTCTCGTTGGGATGCAACACTCCTGAGCTTGGAGCAGGTGATGCTTGAATATCAACCAGCAGTCTTGGCCGCCCTGCCCTCTAGGACTATATCCCATGGAACCTTACTGAGCAGGCTCCTGAAGAGGCCAGAGTCTGCTCTCTTGAAGTCCAGGGCAGTGAGCTTGCTGCATGCTCTTTTCACTGTCCTGAGGATCTTGAACTCAACCATCTCATGATCACTGCAGCCAAGGCTGCCCTGGAGTGTCACATTCCAACCAGCCCCTCCTTGTCGGTGAGTACAAGGTCAAGCATGGCACCTCTCATTGTCAGCATATCTATTACTTGCTAGAGGAGGTTGTCTTCCATGCAACAGAGGAACCTCCTGGATTGCTTATGCAAGAGATCCTCTCAATCTCATTAAATTGTGATGCACTAGGTTCAGCGTATATCAGCAGTCCTTTCTCCAGCTGGTGCTTGAAATCCTTTTGTGTTTCACCAAGTCCACTGCTAGGGTTGTGGGTTTTTTTTTTTAAATTTTCAGAGGCCCTTCTTCCAACAATAGCAATATAATCTTCGGGTTTATTGTTTCTCAGGTTTATGTTGAAGAAATCCATAATTCCATCCATAGGAAAGGGTATTTGATTCCTATTTTTTAATTACTCCAAATTGATCAGTGAAAAACTCAAATGGATACTAAATAACAATACCCTTTGCCCAAAATTAAAAGGAACAACAGAATTCTTTCACATGGAGGATTCTTGAGGGCATTGCAAACTGTTATGTATCCTAGAAGTGGTTACCACAGAAGTATCCTACAGAAATGTCTTCAATGGTCCAAAGCTTAATTAAAAAAAAACCAAAAACCAAACCACTCCTTAATTAGAAGTAATTTTAGACTAAAGACTGTGAGTTTCTTGTTTTGTAGAAAGAACTCCCAGTGAAGGAGCAATTGCCTCAATAAGGGGTGGTTGTTTTGTTTTATTATTGAAGAAGAGATTAATATTTTTATCAGCATATCTAAGTTAATGCAAAAGAGATGAATTATTACCCCTTCGGAAAGACCAAATAGTACTTTCCAGTACATTTTTGTGTTGTGTCCAATGCCTTAGTGTTGCCCATAGATGGGCCATATGTTGCATACTAGTTACATTTTTGCATGCTTGATTTTTATTTTTATTTTTTTATATAAAACACACTGTATTGCACAAAACAGTTCTCATGAGCAGTGCTCATGAAATACTCAGTGACTTCCTGTACAGCCTATCTCATAAGGAGCACAGGATTTGTGCAGTCTGTTAGAGTCAGTGTTTCCTTCACTCCAGTGCCTGGCAGGCACAGAACTCTACTGCTTATTCCTGCATTCTTCTTAATCTATGTGGTTGCATCAGGATAGTATATGGACTACCACTGCTTTACTACAGATGAAAAATTGTTACCATGCCAGACATTGTCTTACATAACTTAGCTTTTAACTCAGCTGGAGAGAGAGCAGGCTGTGTGTACATGCCTTTCTCTGTGTTGCTTAAAATAAAACAATTTATTTCAGCAAGATAATCTGTTTAAAGTACTGTTGAGATTAATATACCTGCAGTCTGCATCTGCTTTTCTTGGTTTAGCTGTGTTCTTAAAGGAGTCCATAGTACACAAGAACCCTTCCACATGCTCAATTTGATTTCAGGTACTTCCTACCTACCAACTGTTTTTACATAATGTGGAAGATAACTTTTTAAATATAATGTAAAATTATGCAGATTGAATGTTCTAATAATATTTGCATTTTGTTTCAGAGCAAAGTAGAAGAGATGATTTGGAAGCTTTAGGACATATGTTTATGTATTTCCTCAGAGGAAGCCTTCCATGGCAAGGTTTAAAGGTAGGTTTTTTTGATACCTTCCTCTGTCCTATTTTCAGCTCATCAGCTTTTCTTACTATGATGTTTTTCTTTTTGAAAGTTTGCCTGCAAACTGTATAACTTCAGGAGCTTGTTTTGTTCTTGTGTTATAGGCCGATACATTAAAAGAACGGTACCAGAAAATTGGGGACACAAAACGAGCAACCCCTATAGAAGTATTGTGTGAAAGCTTCCCAGGTAGTGTATACTGTTAATGAAAATGTTGTGCATTGATTTAAAGAACAAAACTGGCATAGATAGTTGTTTAATATATGGTTTTAAAAACAAATATAATAATGCTTCCAAATATGTGTATTATATACTATGGTAATAGCTATAGGAATAATCCTTTGAAATAGCAGTAAGTCTATGCTGGTGTTCTTCAAAGATAGTTTATTCTAAAAGAAACATTAAAAATTATATGTACGCTTAAGGCGGTCAACCAGTCTACTCTTGTATCTTCACACGTAAAGTTTTGTATCTCAAATTTTATAGCATACTCCTTTTTAAAACAAGCTGCATTAGGAACAGCTTGAAATAATATTTAAAGTAACTTGCAAGTAGTTTTAGGTGTCACTTCTAGTTCTTTTTAAGTGCACAGAGAATTGATGAGGTATTGGAAAATTGGAAAGAAAGAAATCTGACATTTTTAAAAAGTTGGGCTAATCAGCTTGGGTCAGGGGACAGACGCACTTGACACCGACATGATTTTTCCAAAATAAACACCCTGAAAAGTAATCACAATATCATTGATAGCCTAAATGGATTTGCTGAGAATAACTCTGAGTCATTTGATTTCCTCTTGCTAAAGAAATTCCTGTTCACAATGGGCCTTGTGGACAGGAGGCAGATGTTTAATGTCATGACTGTACTTGAAGAAAGTATGTCTTATTTTAAGGGTATCTTATGGAGAAGCGGGAGTTCTTATGTGCAGTATTTGCTATACTTATCACCAAAGACTGAATGAATAGAGATTGTTTTAGTCAAAATTGTGAGGGAAAGAAGTTCTTTAACTTATGGCTGCTACAGACATGAAAGGGATTAGTTTGCTAGATCCACAGCAGCTCAACAATAATGCATGTAATCCAAAACAGTTTAGACTTGAACTCCTGTGTTTTAAATATAGTGAGAACATGGGATTGCCATTGCAAGGGAGACTCTGGAGCTTCTTTCACTTGGAGCTGTGTGAAAACAAACCACAAGGCTGTGGGACAGGGTGGTGTACTTGATGACCTTTTGATGTTCTTTTCAACTCTGTGGTAATAATGAGTCAATTATCATTTTTTCTTATGCTTTTCATTTCACTTTCTTCTGTGTATTAAAAAAAAAAAAAAGAAGTGAAATTGACTTTGGTTACAGAACTTAGAGCAAGTGTCTGAACATATGTTTGTTGACAAAAGTTTAAATGCGGGGAAAAAACTTGTTCTGTAGTGTAAGTCTTCTGCATCCAGGAATGCATGCATGTCTTGCATGTTGATTTTTACCTAGTTGCTAGAACCCCTTAAATATGTAATTTAAGGTGTATATGGTTCAATTCCTGGAAATAATTATGCATGAGCAGCTCCATATATCTAAGTGGACTGTTGTCACTGAATTTAATCAAGTACATGCTTGTTGACAGGATTGAAAATGGAACAAAGAAGTGGTATTTGACCTTGAACAACACAAAAGAGAAACTTCTTTGACAGCTCATATGTACATTTTCATAATAAATGTATTCTTGTATGTTGAAGTTTTTGCATGTCAGATACCTGAGGATTTTCCGTATTTTCCTGTCCTTCTTGTCACTCAAAACATAAAATAATTTCAATTCTTTTCAGTCAGCCTGCAGGTTGAGATAGCTGGTTGATGTCCATAAAGCAAGAGAACTCTAGCATCACTGAAAGATATTTTGGTCTCTGTCACATGTGAAACACCTACCATTTTCATCCTCTGTTCTGTGGAATTGTACTGTCTTTGAGTGTGCAACGCTGCTGCTGTTTAAAGCTTTGTATAAAATGTGAGCAAGGATTTAAACTCTGGAGTTTCTTCATCTAATGCATGATAAGGGTGGTATTTGATTTTTGGAGTCAGCCAGCTGTGACACATTCAGCTGAATTAAATGGCTTAGATTCAGCCTTCATCCCTCTGAAGACATGCCTTGCATGCTTTGGTTTCCCCTTTACATTAGGAAAATATGATTAAAGAGGTCCCTAGCAGTATTTCTCTTTGCCTTCTTCCAATGTTGACCTTCTTGGCTAGAATTTCTGAAGAGTTTTGTTTGTATGCTGAGATAGCCCTCAGATGCCACAGAATTCCTCCTATCCAGTGCTCCATCCTCTAAAAAAAACCACTTTATACTCTGTTTTTGTCAGAAATAAGTAATTTGGGCTTTCTTGGCACCCCTGTCCTGAGGTGCATTCTTGACAGCACCAACATGATACTGTCTCTCAACTTTTTGTTATCAAGCTAGCCTCAAACCTTCTCTTGTCCCTCTTTCAACCCCACAATCTCTGAAGAAGTTTAACTTAGAACAGCTCAGTCTTAGCACTGCCTCTGCACTTCTCAGCCATCTTCTGTCAGATGGTTACATTCCAGTAGCAGATGTTCTTTGGGACATAAGACTACCCTGTACATTCATATACACCCTTCTTTCCTTTTCTCTAGGCTTGTCTTTGTAAAATTAATTAGTAAAGAAAAATAAAATTGGAAAGTAGAGGTGTTTCCCCACTTCTTGGCATGCTGTGCATCAGGATTGGAAGGTTGAATGGAAGATCTTGACGGGTAAATTAGTGTGGGGTTGCTTGGTAAGATATGTTTAGAATGCAGCAATTTATTTTGAAGAATATTATTACTATTAAGTAGCTTTTCTTTCTGGTAAGTCATAGATTCATGATGAACAACTGTTCAGATGTTATGGTAAGAGATAAATGTTACTTTAGTAAGTGCTGATTTTTGAGTGCCTTTCAAGCACGTATGGCAATTATGTACCTTTCTTATTTATGCAGAGGAATTGGCTACATACCTACGTTATGTAAGAAGGCTAGATTTTTTTGAAAAGCCAGACTATGACTACTTAAGGAAACTCTTCACAGATTTACTTGATCGGAAAGGCTATGTGTTTGATTATGAATATGACTGGATTGGCAAACAGTTGGTGAGTACAGTATAAGCTACCAGTAATATACAAGGTTTTTTGCGTGATCGGTTTTGAGCCATTGTTAGTCTTGAGTTGCAGAATACATGTGCATCTCATGGCTGCTGGTATAATTGTGAACAGCTGCTATGACAAACCCATTTTTGGATGCATTTTCGAACATAATTATTTAGCTTGAGATGTTTCATATTGAGTCTCTTTTCAAACGTACTCTTTAACATCAAAGTAAATCTGTTGAATCCAAAATGAGTTTATAGGAATTCAGACTGGTTTTTGTGTTGAAGAAGGAGTTTAAAGCAAAAGAGTTTAAAACTTTGCAGGTGATTGTCATTATTGCATGCGTTTTCCTGTTTCGGGGACTTCCTTGCTCCCAGTATTCTCAAAATGTAGAGCAACCACTTCTCTGCACCTGAGTTACACTCCAGATATTTATCAGTTTGTCATGAAGAAACTGTCTATATGCATTGTTTTAATGAAATAAGATGTAGAGTATCAGTCTCCATGGCAGTGCATCTAAAGTTACAGAAAATGCTATGTTTATGGGTAAAGGATTAATTTTGCAGCACCTCAAATTTTTCCGTATTTCTTTTTAATAAATAGGAAAGGGGTTTTTGTGAGTAAGTTGGGCAGTTTCAGATTATACATCTTACCCTGAAGTTCCTTGTGTAACTCTCTGAAAGAATCATACTATTTTTTTTGCTAAATCTTTTTTCAGTGTTTAGCATTAAAAATTACTTCAAGCCTTTCTTTCAGGCTTTTATCAGAATGTCCTAATTGCTACCTGCAGAAAATAATCAGCCTTTCAGAAAATTAATGTCTGATGTAGTCAGAATTGCTGTTTCTAAAATTATGTAAGTCTTGGTTTGCCCTTTTTTTCTTGTTGGTGTTGGCAAATACCTAGTAAAGATCTTTCTTTAATTTGATAATTTTGATTAATTTCTATTACAAACCAGTAACTTTTGGTAAGATGTAGAAATCTATTTGTTTTACCAGTTGCTACATATTATTTATGTTTGTAGCCTACTCCAGTGGGTTCAATACATTCAGACCCTGCACTGTCTTCAAACAGAGAAGCGTATCAGCACAGAGATAAAATACAACACTCTAAAAATCAGGTAAAGTGATCATATGAGATTATCAGCATTGCTTTGCTTTTTATCTAATGATTTGTGCTATATTATTGCTTTTATTAGAACGCCAAAATAAAATTGACTCTGTCTTTTTTTTTGTTTTAAGTAGATCTTTGTTAATGTATTTCTACATCTGTAGGCCTTAAAATGTCCTAAAAGCTTGCTTGTTTGGTGCTATGATACAACGTACTGATACTTCTTTCAATTTAATCACTCTTTCTTCCCCATATGCTGTATCATCTCTTAGGGTTCTAACATGCATGTAGAACGTTTTCACATTTTTTTTTTTTTTTTTTTTGTTAGCCAGGATAATGACCAGGGTGGTAAAAGCATTAGGAATTTAGATCTGTGTCCATTTACCTAAGCTAAGTTACAGGATTGTGTTGGACTTCGTTTCTTAGTTTCAGCTACTTTACTTCTGTGTGAAAATGCATGTGTAGGCATACGTAAGTATGCATAAAATCTTGATGTACCGTCTGTATAGGACTTGTAGTGCTTCTGTGCTTTTTAAAAATAATATATATGTAATAATTGTTCATTTTGGGAATTTTTATTTCTTATTTTTGCATATATTCCTAATGCATTGAAAAATGATAGTCAACAGACCATAGGGCAGCTTGGGACTCACAACAAGCGAATCCACATCGTTTGAGGGCTCATCTAGCAGCTGACAGACATGGTGGCTCAGTACAGGTATTTTCTGCTTCTTTGCATGACTTAATCAGTCATTTTCCATTATGTAATACTAGTTTCCTGTGGTGCATGACATGATTACTATTTTCATATTAAGCTCTCTTTCCAGTAATGTTCAGAATGTTCCTATTATTCCTTACTCCACAGTTGCCAAACTGAAATTAAGTCAGGTGCAGAAAACTAGGGATCTTTATGTATGTGGAATTTTTGCTCTGTGTTTCGTAGTGACAGCTAAATGAACGGAGCTATCTGTTCTTGAAGGAATATAGACTTACATCAGTGCAAGCAACTGAAGTTTAGACTTTTGATGTGTTATTTAGTTGTATTAATCTTCCCCTCAGCCCTGCCATGGCAGGGGGTTGGAACTCAATGATCTTCCCAGACAAACCATTCTATGATTTTTGCTTTTCAAGCAAACCTCAGATTAAAGTGCTAAGTAGTGATTTTTTGCCTAAACTCTGCTACTTTTGTTCAAACAATAGTCGACTAGAAGAATGTGTCACAGGGCAATACTTATCAGTGGAGAATGAATAGAAACCAACAATTTTTCCTTTGTCATTGGTGTATTTCATCTTTAAAGAGCTTATTTTCCTGGTTTTCTCTTAATTTTACTATTTGATGTCTTGTTCTTTGCATATATTTAGGGGTACGATGATTGTAATAATACTTCCAGAAATACAAACTTTTACAGAAGGATTCAAAATACCAGCTGCGAAGTCTATATGAAGTTTTGGGCTTTCACTCCAAAATAATTTAGCTTTGTAAAGTGTTATCAGGGGAAATACATAGTTTAACCACAGCTGGCAGTCAAGTACTGTGCAGCCACTCTCTCACACCCCCTTCCTCCCTTCTTGGGCAGGATGGGGAGGAGAATCCAAAGAATGTAAAACCCATGGGTTGAGGTAAGAACAGCTTAATAATTAAAATAAAGAGCAATTTAATACTAATAATTATCAGGGAAATAACAAGGAGAGGGATATAAAACTAAAATGGAAAAGGGAAAAAAACCCAATAAACAGCAGTGATGCACAATACAGTTGCTCACCACTCACCAATTGATACCCAGCCCGACCCTAGCAGCAATCTGGGCCTTCTGGGCAACTCACCCAATTTATATACTGGGCATGGCGAGCTGTGGTGTGGAATACCCCTTTTGCTAGTTTGCGTCAGGTGTCCTGTCTCTGCTTCCTCCTGGCGTCCTGTGCCCCTCCTCAGTGGCAGAGCATGAGAGACTGAAAAGTCCTTGATCAGGTTAAGTGCTACTAAGCAACAACTAAAACATCACTGTGTTACCAGCATTGTTCTCAGACTGAAGCCAAAACACAGCTCTGCACCAACTACTAGGAAGAGAATTAACTCAATCCCAGACGAAACCAGGACAGGAAAAAAAAAATCTTCTTTGTCTGCTGCATTTTAGATTCTGACAATTGTAAGTTACGTGTATTTTTCATGAAGTTTCGTTTTGGAAAAAAATTGACAATGCTTGAAGAAAGAATGAGAAGTCCAGGGTAAAGAGAACAGTGCTGTAGTCTCATCAATGTGATAATTCCCTATCTTTTAAATTTTTGAAAACCAATTCAGACTTTAGATTCTCTAAACTTTGCTTAGAAACTGCTGTTCATACAAGAAAATTATCAGATGATAATTAATCACTGTGTATCAAGAAAAATTTAGACATTGTTCTGTGCTTGCCTTAAGTATTTTTAAAACTTTACCTGCATATTTAACTTGAATTGCAATAGTTCCCTCAACATTAGTTTTAAAGGTAGTAATTTATCTTTTGAGAACAGTGTATTAATGTGGAATCAGATTCAAAATTATTACATTTCTTTTTTTTTTTTTAATTTTTAAGTTAGAAAAATACATATTTAACTTCTTAAATTCCAGTTACTGGAATTTCCAAATTTTATAACATATTGCTCTTTTGGCGGTTGGAGCACTTAAGAAACCTTTTAATTTTTTATCAGGTAGAATGTAACAATTGCAGGAGAATTTATTCCATTGTAATATATGTTAAACACTCTTTGGGAGTGGGAGAGTATTTTCTAGGAAATACTAGTAGTATTCCTCTATCTTAATATAATGTTCTTCCTTTCATTCTCAAAGAATATGGGCGTTCTGAGATCAGATCCCTTAGATCAGCTAAGACTAAGCAGCTGCTATTTAAAAAGAGCAGTTTGCAAAACTGCAGCCACTTGGTCTGTGTCTTTGAAGATCATGTGTATTTTCAAGACATCTTAATCGTGTAGCTTTTTAATGTGGAGCTGTCATACTTCCTCATTAAAGGCACTTGCAAAACTACATAATATTTTCAGTTTTGTTTTGACGTTTGAGCCCTTGACTGTCGTCAAATACCCCTTTGTTGTAGTGATACGGAATCATGCTATTAAGTTGGGCAGTTGGGTAGCTAGTTTACTTGAATTCCTAATTGCCCCCAAGAAGACAAGTTCTAAACATGCCACAGATAATTGTTCAAAAGAAAGTTGAGTCTAAAGTATGAAATTAAAGTGTATTGGGTTTTTTTTCTGTGACATTAGTGAGTCATTGCTCATCTTAGAGATGACTTTTATGCTGAATTAGCCATTTCTCTGCGAGAAAAAAGTATCTGGCAGATAATTTGGGAGTGACAGAATGTTTTTTTAGGTCTCTGCTACTAGTCATTTTGTAATACTGCTGTTGATGTTGTCTCTGAGATCCTTTTTTAGAAGATTGTTAAAATGCGTTAGTGATATGAACCTGTTGGAGTGGGTCCAAAGTGGGGCCAAAAAGATGGTCAGAGTGTTGGAGCACCTCTGCTATGAAGATGGGCTGACAGATCTGGGCTTGTTCAGCCTGGAGAAGAGAAGGTTCAAGGGAAGTCTTCCAGTACCAAAACAGGGCCTGCAAGAAATCTGGAGAGGGACTTTTTACAAGGGCAGGTAGTGACAGAACAAGGTAGAATGATTATAGACTGAAAGAGGGGAGATTTAGATAAGATATAAGGAAGAATTCTTCAGAACAGGCTGCCCCATCCCTGGTAGTGTTCAAGGCCAGGTTGGATGGGGCTTTGAGTAACCTGGTCTAGTGGAAGGGGGCCCTGCCCGTAGCAGCAGGGTGGGAACTAGATGATCTTTAAGGTCCCTTCTATTCCAAACCATTCTATGATTCTTCACTGTGATGTTTTAAATTGAAATGAACTGAGTGTTGGTATGTGTGTAGTATGGCAGCCCATTTTTCTAGCTTGTGTAGCCTTATTAGTGAAAGCAACTTGTACCTACCAGCAATTCATTCAGCAGCTTCCTGTGTCTGTCTTGTAAATTTACCTCAGTTCCCAGAAATGTCAGTTGCACGACACCAAATTGTTTCCTTCTCTGTGTGAACTGCAAACTGCTTATGCACTCATAAAGACTGTACTAATCTGTTCATTAGTCTTTTTTTTTTCATTACTTGCTAGCTGATCTTCTTTTTCTTATCCTTTCTCTTTCTGTTTTCCCATTTGGAAATTCTTTAAAAGGAGGTTAAATTAAAAGATCAGGTTAAAGAATTCCCTGTGCAATGCCACGGGGCTTGAAAGGTCCTTAGGAACTGCTTGAAAGGTTAGATATTTGGTGTAAATTCCGAGACATCTCTCCTTGAAGAAGTCAAGATAGCAGTGAATTAGATGAAACAAATCAATTTTCCGAAGCTTTTGTGAATTAAAAAAGTGAATTCTAGTGTGACTAATTTTTTTTTTTAATTTTTTTAATTTTTTTATTATTCTTTTTGTCTTAACTGGAAGTTTTTTGAAGGTAAAATATGACATTCTGTAGTGTCACTAAGGAGTTGCTTGGGCTTGAAGGCTGGCTTTATATTTGAAGAACGGGTAATTCAGTGACTGAGGTGGGTAATGAAGGATTATTTCTATGTGTTTTTCAAGTTGCTGCGATTTTTTTATTGTGATTATAAGCATGAAAATCAGCAAAATTTGTTTTATGAGAGACTTTCTGACTTATTTTTCAACATAGCAAGTAAAAGATTAGTGTACATACTAACTTACATACTAGTTTACATCCAAAAGAAAGCATGTGACTAGCCAGATTTACTGTTACTATCTGGGAACTGGTATTCAGGTGTACCTTTGTTGTCTTTTAAGTGGCCCTTATTGAGCTTCTAAAGGACCATGTATTTAAGAAGCTAATCTTTCCCACAATTAATATGTCTCCTTATTAGGTAGCAGGTCTAGTATTTTGTTTGCCTTATGCCTAGAGGGTAGCAAGAAACATGATGCATATGCTTCTTCATGTATGTGCTTTTCAAATTAAACTTTTGAAGAACTGATTAAATTTGAAGAAACTAAATTTAAACCATGATAAGATCTGTTATCAAAGCCCTTAAAGTTGTGCTGGATTTTTCAGTTTAGTGATTATTCTTCCATTTATATGTATTTGAGTACCTTAAGTTAATCTTCAGCATTGCAACACTTCTAATTTGAAACTTAGTTTGAAATATTCTGTGAAATTTGGTGACTTTTCCTGGAAAAATGTTCATGTAGTTTTAGTTAGCAAAATTTTTAGGTGCAAAAATGCAGCTTCAGTATCCACATTTTTCACTACAACTGTATACAAATCTATTAAGAGATTAATTGTGCCTCCCATCTTTTGTTAGGCTGCTGAGGAAATCCAGTTGAACTCAAGTCTTAAGTAGAGAAATGAGATGAAAAATTTCTGTTTAATCACTATTAGTTTTGTGTATTGGTTCTTCTTTCTCCTTTTCTAAAGTTACAGCTTTTTATGTGGATCCCATATGATGCATTTTGTTTGTACCACGTGTGGTACATCTTGGCTACAGAATTTGGTGTGCCATACCTTCAGTGTAAATGCTCTTCCAGGTGACTTATTCTGGTTCAGTTTTGTTACATTCCCATATCTTTCCACCTGTGTCATGATAATTTTTGAGCTGATTGGCATGTAGTTAGAGAGAAGTGCAATGGTTGGTCTAACTTAGCTTGTATGCTCCAGGGTCAGGAGCGTACAAGTGTTCCCACTGCTTCATTTACCATGCATTATCACTCTATTACCAAATGCACTTTTTTGATCAGATTGCAAAATAATTTACTGATGTCACAGGGAATTAACTTTTGGCATTGCAGGTTATTTTAGCAAATTACAGAACTTTCAGTTATAAGATCATACAGTAAAATAGCCTCACTGCTACAGGAACTGAAGCAGTCCTGCATGCCTCTTGTTGTGCTTTTGGATGAGTGTTTGTTATTTTTTAAAAAATGTAGATATTTTGCTGTGTTGCAGGTGTATTAATTCTTGGTTCTGCATGTTACTGAGACCATTCTTAGTGTTCTTTTCAGCAGTAGTAGACTAGAGTGAAACTCAGGCCATTTGTGATTCTGGAGAAGCATAACTGATGCTGGTTTTTGGGCTACCAATAAATAATACCCTTTGGTTCACTTATGCTTTCAGAGGTCTCAACTCTTTCCAGAAAGATGAACTTTGTTTTCCTTTTATCTAAACTAAGCCATGCATCAGGCAGTTACATTTAGTTGTCTTTGGTTGTGTATTTGGTGGATGTGTCGGCTGTTGGTATATGGGAAGGACTGAAGACTCCTTGATCTCTGTCTCCTTCATAGAGACCAACCAGAGCAAGGCAGGACAGTCTTCCTCTCTCTGATGCGAAGATTTCTACAAAGTTTGTATCAAAGATTCTTAGAGAAAACAGATTAATTAGCAAACACCTTAGGGCAAATGCTGCCTTGAAAAGAAAGACTTTTCCCACAAATGATTTGTTAAAGTAGAATTCCTGCCTGTTTCTGACACTGAACATTTAGTGCTTCTGCCATCCCCAGTGATATGAAACTAAGCTTAAACCACCATGTTGAAACTCTACTGGCTTACCTGGTGTCACAGAAAAAAAGTCCAATCTCCCAGAATTCTTCAGTTATATTCTCTAGGATTCAAATAACTAATCATGGAATCTCAAATTCCCTTTTCCTTTCTCACTGGGCTGCATGGGGGGTTTGGCAGTGGTTCCTATTTTAGTCAAACTTGAAAAAGAAGAAAACTCAGCCTGTTGTAGGCATGCGGCATGAAAAATGGCTTAAGTTCAGCAATCTTGTGAAGCTCTGTACTTGGTTACAATAGGAACCACAAAGCAAACCTCAATAGGCTCTGTTAGCTCAGGTTATAAATAGATGAGGCATAACTCCTGCATTAGGAGGAGAGCTTGGAAGGGTAAGGGGGATAGTAACATTATGCTAATGATGACTTTCCTTACCTTTGCTTTCTTCTAACTTAATGTCTGATAATGTTTTCCAGATGTTATCTGCAGGCTTTTATGTTACTTTACCAGAACAATATTTTTGTGTAATGTTCCTTGGCCAGTAATTTGCTGCTACTTTGTACCTAGTAGACCTCTTGGTACTATAATGGGTCAGTCAGCACCGTCAGCTGCCCTGACCAAATATGCACTTGTGTGTATCTAGTTAACCATTGTCCTGGCAGATTCTGTAAGGTGAATAAGTGAGATGCCACTTCTTGTCATGCAGGAAAGCTGAGAGAGAGAATGCTGGATTACATTTGGTTTAAAGTCAGAACAAACATTCCCAGAGAACCAGAGGTGTCCTGGTGGCTCAAGAATTTACAAAGGAATTTGAGAGTAAATTAATGGGAATGAAGATGAATTTAATTGCCTATTTTTTTTTTTTTTATTTTTTTTGACGGCAGTAAGTGTGCTCGTGCTGTGAGAGTGAAAAACAAACACTACTGACACTCTTAGGTCTAGAAAATGTCTTAGATTTTCCCTCCTTTGGTGAGTAACTCTTTGAGATACAGCTGAAACAGGTCACACAGAAAAGGAAACTAAGAATCTGAAATGCACTAGGGTAACACAAGACTGACTAAATTGACATCAGGAAAAGGGCTTGTACCTTTCCTTAAGGCTCTGAAGAGACATGAGGGAGATGAGCAAACCTGATCAATAGAATTGCTTTGCTTAATTTGCTTAATTCGCTTTGAGTCTGCTGTGTAGTTGTCAGTTTCACTGGTAGATATGAAAGAAAAATGGCAGGAGTGCAGGGAGGCAGGAATAAAACGTGGAAAAGATATTTTTACTGCAATAAAAAGAATTATGCAGTAAACAAAAATGACAGTTTTTTTGAAGATGTATGTATGGCACTAGCATAATTTCAGGTATTTCTGGTGATTTCAGGTAGTAAGCTCAACAAATGGAGAACTGAATACCGATGACCCAACTGCAGGCCGTTCAAATGCACCCATCACAGCTCCTGCAGAAGTAGAAGTAATGGATGAAACTAAGTATGTCCATCTTTTTATTTTCTTAGGATCTTGTGTGCTCAGCTACTTCAAATTTTTTATTGTATAATTATTAAAAAAATACTTGAAAAATGCCACAGGTGAGGGGCAAAACTATGGTGCTATACTCAATTTTGGCTTTAAATATTTGAATAATAGATTTTCTCTAACTTGTGCTTTTTAGGCTAAGCCCTCAGTAACACATCTCTACACTAGAGAAGTGCATGTGTTTTTGATGTTTGAACTAATTTTGAAATAATTATTATAAGAAAGATAGTTTTCTGACTATGAAATTATATATGAAAGATGTAAAATTCTTCCTTTGTGTTCCTTCTGATTCTTTTTTTTCCCCTTACTCTTTTTCTGTATAGCTGCCAGAAAGTGTTGAACATGTGGTGAGTTCTACAGCACATGCAGGCAGAAATAGCCCTAGGGGCTTTGGTTTTGTTAGTTGTTTAAAACTAATGTCAGAAACCTTTAAAATAACAAGTCCGTTTGGAAATCACAAAATATGTTTTAATGCTATAAAACAACTGGTTTTACAGTTACACCTTCAGGAGCTATTTTGCCTGCTTCAAATCTTGCTTGCTTTTAAGTTTGTAGTCTGTAGTGTACTTTATTTAATCCTTTTAAGTGAGTAGTAGAATATTTTCTTGCTGTCCTGTTTTAGAGGGGAAAACGTTCTTTCCAGATGTTGTAGTATTCAACGAGTATTTTAACATCTAGACAATAACTCACTTATATACAGAAGTAACAAACGCTAGCAAATACTCAAAATTTGCCCGTTATCTCTGAAGCATAGTACTTACCAGAGTATTAGTCTTTGACAACTTGCTAGCAAATTACTAAAACAGAACTTCAGGGTTCTTTAAAGTTAGGGTGTAATGAAAAGGGGAAAAGGTCTGTTAACATGGGATGGACAACTAATGTATATACATTTGAGTGCTAAAGTCGGACTTGCAAAATAGTACAGGAAAATATTCTTCATAGCTAAAGGCAGTATAACTTTCAACATGTGTTTTTTCTATAATATTGGTTGGAATAGGATGTTACAAAGGTATGGATCTAGTTTATCATAAAATAGAGGCGCTCAAGTATGAGAGATACATTACTATCATATCATTCCAGTAGCCATTCCTTAATAGCAATAAATTTTGTAGGACCCATTTTCGTAAGTCTTAAATAAAGGGAAATATCTCGCAGTAAAACTTTTTCTTGAAGTCATTGTTCTGCAGGTTCTGGGTTTGGTATGTAAGATTATGTTGCATGTGTAGTTAAAAATAGTGAATGGAGGTGTCTCTTGTACCACACTTGTGCACTAGCTTTTTGTGAGCACTGAGAAGACCAGTTATGTACCTGCCATCTTACAGAGTACTGTATTATTTAATTTTTCTGGCAAGAATTCAGTTTTCTTATATGTATATTTAAAGCAAAAAAAAAAAAAAAAGAGACCCCAAAAAGCAAGGATGTTGACAGGCTGCACATAGAGCAATTCCCTATCCCTTCCATTTAGATAAAGGCAGTGATAACCTTCCTTATGTCCAGTTCATGAACACACAGGCAAAGACTTAATTTCTGAAGTTTTGAGTAGTGCTTACCACAATTCAAATTTATACTTAGTTATCTGCAGAAAGTAAGAGAATTCTCAGAAGCCAAGGTGCTGCAGCTACTTTAAAAGTGTAGAAGCTCCTTTCCTCTGATAGGAATAACTGATAGACAAATATGCTATCTTTTTTAGCGTAGTCTTTACAGGTTTTGTTACAGACAATACATCTAGTCTCAATGTCCTACTCTTTAATCTTTTTCAGTTTGAAACACACAGATGAGTTTTCCAGTGGTGTCTATTTAAACTGTAGTTTCCTCATTCACTATTTTTTTTTTTTGCAGTTTGATCAGTTTTTATATATTGGCAGTAATTAAAGAAACACACACATCCAGCATTGCTATCAGCCATCAGTGTATAGGTATACATCTTTTTAGCAGAAATAGTACATTAGAAGGTTTAAGTAATTTTACGTTTTAACATGATAGTTACAAGCTTGATATCAAAAGGTGTTGTTAGACTTTTAAGCATCCATTTATAGATCTTACACTGCTGAAGAATATGAGGAAATGCAAGTTTTGGTATTTTTAATGTCTGTGATACAGACATTTCCTTTTTTAAGAAGACATTGTTTTATCAAAAGGCTCTCACTTAGTGCCTCTTCTATAATCTTTTCTGCATTTGAAAATATGAACAAAGCTACCCTCTCTTTTTGACACCTCATTTGTAACATTTCCTCATACTTGTAGGAGACGAGCATGAATATTTTTTAGAAACACTTAATTCTTTGCTCTAGATGTTTCCATAGTTTAAGAAGCTTAGCATGATTATGTCTTCATTTAAAAGTCTGAAGAAAGGGTGCCCTATCGTGTGATTTTTAACTATGAACACAAATAATTGTTTAGCTGAATATTAGATCTTCTGTTACAATTTCAGTGGGATGCTGTAAATCAGAAAGGATAAGGATTTTATTTCAGTGAGCATTTTATTGTTTTGGGACATTCACCCAACACTTCCATTGTTTGATATATATTTATGCACTCACATGCAGTATATATTCTAAATCTTATGCTTTGTCGTCTTCCTGCATCTCTGCTGTTGCTGTGCATGAGTAGGAAGCATGACTTAACAGTGGGGGTTGGACATTGGGTTTTTCAATGGGCTCTGGGGGGGTTTGTGTGTTTGGGTTTTGGTTTGGTTTTTTTTTTTTTTTTTTTTTTTTTTTTTTTTTTTTTTCAAAAGTAGCTTTCATCCCTCTCTCAGTTATTACTGAGTGTAACAACTAGAGTTTGTGAAGCAGGGAGAAAACTAACCTGATCGCTGTTCTGAACTGGTACTTGTAGATCTTAATCTTCTACAGATGATCTTCCAGTTATCACTGATCAATTAGCCTGTCTTCTTTAACTCTTTGCTAGCCTTAACTCTTTGCTAGCCATCAGAACAGTTGCCTCTATGAAGCATGTGTGATTTGGATAAACAAAAGGCTCTGCCATGGGAGGACAGAGAAGGTCAAACAGGAAAAGATGGTTTGATCTGTCCTTTTTGCATTTTGCATTCTTTTTGCCACTTTACTGCAAAATTATTAATAGGTGTTTCAAGTGCTGCCCCATTTAGAAGGCAAATATAAAAACACAGCTATCGAAACACAAATGAGAACTGAAGTTGACTTAGCATGTTGTGCCAAAGGACTGGTAGAGGGAAGGAAGGGTATTTAACAGAAAAAGGGTTTGATAATGTAGTAGGACAAGACATGTTCTTAACCACATTACTGAGAATGCTACCTTAGATAATATCTCAAAAGTCACTTCAGATTCTACCAGAAAAGTTGTTTCTTGAGTTTCATATATTGGTATTATACTGCGTGCTATAGATATGTTTTATATCCTACAGAGAAAGAGGTTAGTGTTCATTAAATACTTTCTTTAAAAAGAAATAAAAGACCATTTCCTAGAAATAGACATTTTCAAATCATATCTATTATGCATTTGGAATGCATATTGAATAACACGATAAATTTGTGCTTTAATACTCATTAATAATGCCCCTATCTGTAGCTTTAGGTATGGTTTCAAGCAGTGTAGCAAGTGTTGAAAGTGAAAATGACACCCTCTAGTGACAGTATGCTTGGGAACATGTCTGCATTTCTATTATATTCTTCAAGAGATAATGCATATGGATCTCTAATATCAAGGTTACATTTCTGTCATAAAATTTATTATCAGGCAGTGTAGTCTGACCTGTCTTACTCCCATATAAATGTGTATGTATTTTAAAGTGACATTTATTTGGCCTTGGAAGGTTTGACAGGTCTAGCACTTCTAGGTTGATAAATACACATTTGAGTAAGTTTCCAAGCCAGTCCTATGGTTTGCAGTGCTCTATAGAATATGCATTCTTTTAACACTTTTTAGCTATAATATGTATTAATAAAGGAATTTTTTGCTCACACCAAATACAGTCTTCAGCATTTAGTGAAATTCCCTGAACTAGAATACAGTTGAGTAGTTCTTACACAAAAACTAACAAACAAACCACACAAACAAACAAAAAAGAACCCAAAGAACCCACACTAAGCAAGAAACCACAAAACCAAAACGAAACAAAAAAAAAAAACCAACCAAAAAAAAAAAAAAAAAAACCACCCCAAACAAAAACCCTAACCAGTAAGACAACACAACTCTTAACAGAAATTTTAGTATTAGGCAAACTCCAGAAGACCAGGAGATAAAAAAACAGTGCTTTATGTTGATTACTTGAATTCCCTATTGCATGATGCCCTTCTCTGGTTGACAGAGAAGTAGCAAACTAAACAGGCTATGTAGAAGAATAAGGGACAGTATCAGATTTGCAGCAGGGATGGATCAAAACTTTCTGTGAGGGAAAGCAAGAAAAACTAAAATGTCCTTTCATTACATAGCAGATCCACGCAGTCCTAAACATTTAAGAAGTGTGATCTGCCGTTCTTTGAGACATGCTTCATATAAGCAAAATACAGTTAAGCAGTGAAGACTTAAAATTCTAGACTGTTTTTCTATAATATAAATTAAGTGCCACACTTGCATCTCCCTACAGTTATTTGTAACCTGTGTTTTGTGTACAGTAAAAGTAGGAATCAAGACAAAATTTTTCTGTAAGCTTTCTTTAAGGCTCCCTAATCTGAAATAGGTACAAAAGTGATTTACCATCACAGTCCAAGGTAGGATTTCCTCATTCGTGGGATCACAGGATAATTCACATTGAAATTGCTTTTTTTAAATATATATATTAATGTTTGTTATTTACATATATACAAAATACTTGGGAAAAGATTGGGGTGAAAGATGGATTAAACTGATTTGGTCTCCATGCATGTGCATATAAATTCAAAGGTTAAGTGATAATGAATGTTAGTGGCTAAGAAAAAAGGTTAGTAGTTAGGATGAAATTTCAGTTGTAGGTGGTGGTCTTCAAAAACGATTATGACTTTCTTAGAAGTACTTTAAAGTTAATACAGTATAATATTTTGGCTAGTTGTAAAAAAAAATATCTATATAGTTTTCCCTACTGAATTTAATTTTGGGCTCCCTTTCCACCAATAACCAATTTTTTTTTTCCTACTGAAAGTTATGTAACTCTCAGAGCAGCTCTGGTCTGCCTCTGCCCACTGCTACTTTTTCAGTGACTGAGCAACAGGGTGCCTTGGATGTTTTGAGAAGGTAACTTCTGTGTCCCCTTACTTTGGATGTTGTTCTCATCCCTCGTAGAACCTTATTTTCAGACCCTTATTGTTCCTCATTTTCAAATGCTCTCCCCATTTCCCATATTCCACACTAAATCAACAGAATTCTTTTGAATTTTAGTGACATAAAATGCCTGGTGAACTTAAGGACTTATAGATACTCTATTCATAGTTTAACACACTTCAGTATATAGCACCTGCAAGTGAGAATTCAGTAACTGAACTGCAGAACTCCATGGGGCAACCTAAGGTGGACAGCTTGCATGTTCACTTTTAATTGATTGAAAATTGTGAATACTTTCCCAAGTGGACTCTCTGTTCTTAAAGGTGGTGGTTAGGACCTGAGTGTTGCATATAAAGAAATAAATGGGGCGAGAAGGCCAGGGGGCCTCCATGGATGGATAAGGAGCTGCTGAGGAAACTTAGAAGTTAAAAAGAAACTGATAAAAGATGGAAGCAAGGATGGGCGGCCTGGGAAGAATAGGGGGACACTGTTCAGGAAGGTAGGGACCAGGTCAGGAAAGCTAAGGCCCAGTTAGAACTGAGTCTGGCAAGGAACGTCAAAGATAACAGGAAGTGCTTCTATAGGTATGTTGCAAACAAAAGACAGAGTAGGGATAACATGGTCTCTCTCTGGAAGATAACCGGAGATTATATATCCTGGATTTGGAGAAGGCTGAGCTTCTCAATGACTTCTTTGTCTCAGTCTTCACTGGCAAGTGCTCTGACCACGTCACCCAAGTCTTGGAAGGCAGATGCAGCGACTAGGAGAATCAAGACTTTAAGGCCACGAAGAGAGGATCAGGTTCGACATCATATTTGCAACCTGAACATGCACAAGTCCATGGGACATGATGAAATCCATCCACAGGTCCTGAAGGAGCTGGTGAAGTTGCTTAATCATTGTCCCTCGTATTTGAAACATCATGGCATTCAGGTAAAGTTCCCAACGACTGGAAAAAAGGAATAAGAAAGATCTGGGGAACTACAGACCAGTCAGTCTCACCTCTGTACCTGGCAAATTCCTGGAGCAGATTCTCCTAGAAAGCATGCTGAGGCACATGCAAAACAACAAGGTGGTTGGTGACATCCAGTATGGCTTCACTAAGGGCAAATCTTGTCTGACCAATTTGGTGGCCTTCTGTGTTGGGGCTACAGAACTGATGGATAGGAGCAAAGCAGTTAACGTCATATACTTGGAATTGTGCAAAGCATTTGACACTGTCCTGCACAACATTCTTGTCTCTAAACTGGAGAGATGTGAATTTGGTGGATAGACCACTTGTAAAGAATTTGCTGAATGACCAGACGCAGAGACTTGTGGTCAACGGCTCAGTATCCAACTGGAGATGAGAGGTGATTCTCAGGGGTTGACGTTGGGACCGATCTTTTTCAACATCTTTGTTGGCGACATGGACAGTGGGGTTGATGCACCCTCACCAAGTTTGCCAATGACACCAAGCTGTGTGGTGCTGTTGATGTGCTGGAGGGAAGGGATGGCATCCAGGGGGACCTTGACATGCTTGAGAGGTGTCCAATGCCAGCCTCATGAAGTTCAACCAAGCCAAGTGCAAGGTCCTACACCTGAGTCAGGGCAATCCCACGCACAGCTACTGGTTGGGCAGAGAAGTGATTCAGAGTAGTCCTGCGGAGAAGGACTTGGAGGTGTTGGTTGATGAGAAACTGAACATGAGCCAGCTTCAGTGTACGCTTGCAGCCCAGAAACCAACCATGTGCTGGGCTGCATCAAAAGGAGTGTGACCAGCAGGTCAAAGGAGGTGATCCTGCCCCTCTACACTGCTCTTGTGAAACCCCACTTGGAGCACTCTGTACACTTCTGGTGTCCTCAATGTAAGAAAGAGCTGTTGGAGCAAGTCCAGAGGAGGCCATGAGGATGATCAGGGGCTGGAGCACTCCCTGTATGAAGACAGGCTGAGAAAGTTGGGGCTGTTCAGCCTGGAGAAGAGAAGGCTGCGTGGAGACCTCATACCAGCCTTCCAGTATCTGAAGGATGCTGAAGAGGGACTCTTCATCAGGGACTGTAGTGACAGGACATAAGGGAAGGGGTTTAAACTTTAACAAGTGAAGTTTAGGTTAGATACAAAGAGGAAGTTCTTTACTGTGAGGGTGATGATGCACTGGAACAGGTTGACCAAAGAAGTGGTAGATGCTCCATCCCTGGCAGTGTTCAAGGCCAGGTTGGACAGAGCCTTGGGTGACATAGTTTAGAGTGAGGTGTCCCTGCCCATGGCAGGGGGGTTGGAACTAGATGATCTTAAGGTCCTTTCAATCCCTTACCATTCTGTGATTCTATGAGTGAGTGATCTGTAGCTGGCCAGCTAATTGTGAGGCAGTTACTGCACAGTAACTTCCAAACTATTTCATAGCAGTTTTAAAATAGCAAAACCGTATCTAGTCCAAAGCAGTGGATTTGTTTAAATCACTGCAATAAGGGAAATATTTAAGGTCTCATTCCCAGGTATACTGCTCCAATGGCTTAGGTGTTTTCCTGTGGGAACTGTGCTGACTGATGAGTCAGTGTCCCTGCCCGTGGCAGGCAGGTTGGAACTACGTGATCTTTAAGGTCCCAGCCCACACCATTCTTTGATTCTATAAGGCTAAAATTACATGCAAATGAAATAGTTTTTTTGCGCATTTGTTGTTTTCCTCTTTATTTTCAAAAACACTTCCTGGACTTCTGCAGTCCCCCTCTGTATTATCTATCACTGACTCCCACTAATTCTTTTTCCTTTTGTAGTGGGGTGGGTTTGGGTTGGTTTTGGTTTTTTTTCAGTTACTTTCAGGTTGTCCCTATTTGCTAAGTGAAATTTGCAGTTTGCCAATTTTAGTTTTGTTCATGTAGCATGCAATAAGGCAGTAGAAATAGTGTCAGTATATCTCAATATACTTAAAGCTGTGATTTTTCACTGCAGTCGTATCATCACAGCACTGAATCAGAACATTAATTATATTGTTATGAACATTTTCTTCGAAGTTATTTTGGGGAAAGTTTTTCCAAGTATTGGCTGACAAAGGAAGCTTGAATTGTTTTCTCGTATTAGCAACAGTAGTGTTATAAGTGCACAGTTCAGGTGATAAATTTGAAGCTCAAGCTTCAATTTGGTGTATTACCAGTTAATATGAAAGAGTACTAGGGTAATAGAACATTCCTTATTCTTACAGATACAATTTTAAGTCAGCCTATAATGCTCCTGCTTTTGATACCCTCACACAATTCTCTAAACTTAATATCCATTTCTGTTATAGCTTTCTTCATGCAATACTTTTTTTCAAGTAAAGGTGAAATGTGTCAAAAGTATCTCTACTTCAGTATCTTTCACTAGTAAATCAATCACCTGCAGTAGAGCTTAATGTGTTCCTTGTGCTGGCTATATCTGAACTACATTCTTCAAATGAAACAAGTAAACGGTTTAGTTTTGTGATTTCTTTTTATATCATGTGTAATTCATGTCACATCTACAGGTGCTGCTGTTTTTTCAAGCGGAGGAAAAGGAAAGCCATTCAGCGCCACAAATGACTAGAACCAGGCAGAACGTGGGAAATGGCTTATTTGTTCAACTGCTGTCTTGTGATCTTAAAAAGATCCCACCAAATCTCTGTAATGCCACATGTTTTCCAAGGGCTCCCTTAGAAACAGTGTCATGCCTGTGCGCTTTGAATTTGGTTCTCCTGCATCCATCTGTTGTTTCTTTAATTCATCTATTCTGAAAGCTTTAAGGTTTTGTCAAATATGAGTGCTTCTTTGACCATCAATAAATGGACCAATGAAATGGTACAAATGAACAGTATCTTCAGCAAAACTAAACTTGAAAGGTATTTCTCCTGTCTTAGGAAGTACTAGCAATGTCTTAGCTGAAGACAGATGTCATAAATCTGTTACTTGCTTTTGATACACTGCTACAAACTCAATCTTAAGATTTCTTTTCTGACACCTGCATTGATTCTGTTTTGTCTGTGATACAGTACTGGTGACACAGTAATCAGTTTTTATCTGCATTAAACCCTCTCTGTGATATCATGGTACAGTCACTGTCTAGAGATACCGAGGAGGCTGATTTAACTGTTGATGGTTGTCTAAATGCTATTGAAACTAACGAAAAGAAAGTATGTCTCTGGATTTGAAAACTTGCTGCCATTATGCCTACAATGTAATTGCAGAAAAATACAAATAACAGTAGTTTTCGTATAAAGAATACAAAGTTTGTATAATTTAAGTTGTGCTTCCAGTAATATTAACAAAATTGAAATACCTTCAAAAGACATCTACAGAGGAGTTCTAAAAGAAGAAAGAAATGTGAATCTGGTTTAAGTAGAATCAGTATTAAAGCCTGTATGTTCACTAAAGTAATTGATGATTGACAACATCTTTAAAATACAGATGTGCCATGTAATGTTAGGCATCTGTTTCTAAATTATTTTACTCTTTAATTGAGAAAACAGAGGGAATGAAATTGAGTTAGATTTTTTTCCTTCTCTGAGTACTGGCCCATAGAACCAAAAATTTCCCAAGGTTTTTTTTTTTTTCCTGGAAATTTCTTGTCTTTCAGTGTAATGTCACTACTATAGTAGGATGGAAAAGATGTGTCAGGTACTTCCCCCCTATCCAATGAAGATATTCATTGAATAGTGAACCTGGTATTCATTGAATCGAAGAACCTGCAATATGAACAACCCAGGAGTTCTGTAGACAAGGCAGCCCATTCTGTATTTTCTTCTTCAGAAAATATGTGCGTCTACTTAAGCCATAATGACAGAGGTGTGCTTTTGTTTAGCTGCCAGTTACTGAAGGTGGTGTGTGAAAGATGGAAGAGACTAGACATGTTTGTTGACCAAAACTCAGATTATCTCAATTTTTTATAATTCTTTGAACTAAGTAGCTGTTTTCTGGTTTTGTTTTTAATCCACACATGCCTTTTGGCATACTTATTTATTTTTCATCTGTTTTGTGGTAGCATTTAAAATGTGTACTAAAATAAGTGCACACCTTTGAATTCATTATTGCATTTACAAGGATTTTAATTGTATTTTGTAATTTATTTTTCCTTAACAGCCAAAAGTGTATTTTATTATTTAGATTAAGTACTCATGTGTATACTTTGATCTTTGTCATTATTACTGTTCTTGATCTGAACTTTGTTGTTAAAAAACCTGAACTTGGCCTAAAAAAATATACTGTATAACAGGTTGTAAGTTTCCACTCCACCAGTTTGTGTTACTGACTCTCTCAAACTCATGAAGTTATTTCTATGTTTTTATTTGAGCTGAAAAGGTAGGTTACTTGACCATTATTATACGTAAACACATCCTTCTTTGTAGAACTTGACCAAATTTGTTGCTTTGTAAGATTTGATTTGTGATTTTCTCACACACCTGATTAGTTTTGAGGGTTTCGACCTGTACAGTGTTCGTATGATCTGAACTCCATACACATGATCAAGAAAATGTGTATATTATGAACTTAAAATATTTGAATACATGAAAGCTGTTTTTTTTTGTTGAAATTACCAGAATCTAGGCACTTGTTTTTCAGCAGTATTTTTTTAAAGTGCTTGATTTTAATGCTGAAGAAGGTTTTCTTCTAGCAAAGCAGTCAGTACTAATGCAGGTGTGTTCAGGTTATGCCAGTATGATCTGCATTTATATCCTTTCTTTTCCTGTTGTCCTGGGTTCAGCTTAAACCACGACACCTGTCTAAACTAATGAAGTAAACATTGGCTGGATATCTAAAATGAAATACATCCCTGTTTAAATGTAAGACAAAAAAATAAAGATAGTTTTTTAAAACTTGCCTTTCCCCCCCCATTCCTACAGTCTTGGATGAAATAATGTAAGCTGTGTTACTTGCTATGAACAGTTTCAAACATTTTGGACAGCAAGGAATTCAAAAGCACGTTACTCAAAATGCTACCTCAACATTACAGCTACGTTTATGTTTGCGTAGTTAACAAGTGTTATATGATTTAATATACCTAATGATAACAATAGAGTGAAGAGACATCAATGCACATGTTTGTAACTAGGAAATCTACTCAGGGTCTATGTGAATTAAAGTCTATGCTGTCTGTGCCACCTAGAATAAAAACCATTACAAATACTGTGACATATGCAATAAATGTGTCTTTAATTTTGCCAGGTATCTTTATCTAGGAAAGGAAGACTGGTAATTCTTCAATCACAACCTTTTGTTCAGTAGACAGGATTGCTCCTTTGTATGATTTGATATGATATAAAAAGGGCATATTTACTTGAGAACAATGTTAATACGCAAAATCAGTTGCTACGCTTCTAGTTAAGACTGTTAGCACTTTGCTTCATAAGTGGATGTTTTCATTTGCTTGTGCTTTTATAGATCTACAGAATTATTGCAAGTAAAATTTTTTCATGTATATGGTGGATTTTTTTTATTCAAACTAAAGTTTTCTTTTTGAGACTTTGAGTTTTAACACATGAATGCTTAAAAGTATACCACCACGTATTTTGCAGTAGCTTTTTATGCCTTGAGTAGCTTTTTTGAAGGATATTTCAAACGTGAGATTGCAGAATCAGTTATGTCAAGAATTAAGCCACTGTGCACCTTCATTGATTGTTTTATCAAATTAAATAGTATATTTTCTGAGCATATCTTCCACTTTCAGTTTTCAGGATGCATGATACTAACTGAGCTTTTAAGGACATATTCAGTTGTCATATGCTCAATTTTTATTTTTCTTGTAAGATGGGCTTTTCTGTATCTTATTACTATATCTGTTTGAACCTTACTCAAAATACAGCTTTGCTGAATATTTGTGGGGCTTCATTTGGTGACACATACTATCATATGGAGTATTTAAGATATGTATTTATATCTTCACACAACTTCCCTCTGAAATAGTATCCTGTTCAAGGGCACTGAATCAAATCTTTAAAAGCTGCTGAATCTAAAAGTCCTGATGAAAAGAAACCCCAACCAAACACAAACCAACTTCATTGACTAGTTTGAGGTGCCAGTTCTTTTTCTTGTATTTTCTCATGTCCTGAAAAACACTTGAGAGGTAAGCTAGCCCTGAGGTCTTGAAATGGACAACCAAAGATACGAAACACCAAGAAATTGCCTGTAAAGATTTTGAGTGGTTAGGCTACTGTCATGTTTGTGTCAGAGACTAGTATTTAATTTTTAGAAAAATGTTTTGTACACTGCAGGTCTCTACTTCAGTGCTCTGAGCCATGGCATTGCTCTGCAGAGGTGCAAGGCAGGACAGGGTGTTTCCCATGGTCCTGGGCCAACCACTAATCTTTATGGAGTGGCACTTAAGGACATGAGTTAGTGGTGGACTTGGTAGTGTTAGGTTTGCAGTCGGAATTCGTAACTGTAAGGGTCTTTCCCGATCTAAATGATTCTGTGGTTCTGTGAACAGGATGAGCAGAGCAGGGATTGCTGCAAGGACTTTGTAGAATTACAGAATGGTTAGGGTTGGAAAGGACCTTAAGATCATGGGCAGACACAACTCCCACTAGACCAGGTTGCTCAAGGCCATCTTCAGACTGGCCCTGTACGCTGCCCTGTACACTACCAGACGTCCTCTGCTTACAGGAGCCCTGGCGGGGAGCATGGCTTGCAGGAGTGCCTGAGTCCTGTGC